TCGATCCATCTCATACTTGGCCTTCCTCTTTTTTCCCCACCTTCTACGCATACTTTCCCTAGCATGATCGTTTTCTCTAGTGAGCCATGCCTTCTTCAGATGTGCCCAAAGTCCTACATTCTCAGTTTCATAACTTTTGCTTCTGGGGACTTGATTTGATCTAGGACCCACTTGTTCGTCTTTCCATCAAGCCACAAGCTCTCCCCCAGTGAAATCCACTGCCATGGGAAGTGGTGATGGCCACCAATCTCAATGGCTTTTAAGGGGGACTGGACAGATTCATGAGGGATGAGACTATCAGTGACCACTACCCTTGCAGCTATGGGCTCCCTCTGTTCTCGGAGGCCCGCCTGCACACACCAGTTGCTGAGGAGCTTGGGCAAGCGGAGGTCTTGCGCTCATCCTGCTGGAGGGGTCCCGTGGGCAGCTGGTTTGCCACCGTGCGTATGGTGTGCTGGACTAGATAGACCTGGGGTCTGATCCAGCAGGGCTTTGCTTATGTCCACAAGGTTTCAAGAGAATTTTCTTCACTGTCCAGCTTTCACACCCAGCCACAGGGATCAGAAATACCATAGCACAGATGATGGCCTTGGTCCCCAGCAAGACATCCTTATACCTGATGTAAGGTGTACATTCCTTCCTTGTTGTGCTTTCAGGTCTCGAGGCTGAGGCTTCCATTATGGAATTGATCAATCTCCTAAGTTAAGATTATCCACAGTCTGTCCAGGTCTGGGTAACCTAATGAGCTGTGGTCAATTTAAAATGGCAACAAACCTCTCCCCACAGCTATGCTGGAGAAAACGGGCTAAGCCCAGGGCTCGTACCCAGCTTGCTCACTTACTGCTGAACTGTGGCTTATGTGTTACATTTGAAGAGAAATCTGTGATGCAGTGGTGCAGCTAAGTAATTTCAGACCCTGGACCCACTAGTCTCATAGGTGTCCCCTTTAGATGGCTAACTATATTACTGCAGTTGTGAAGCACAACAGACATTTTTCTTCTTCCCACCCTTAAACCGACTGCCATTCCACGCTTTACATCTGCTTCTATATGCCCGTTAAGTTAGAACAAGAACAAAACTGCATGCCAACCCCGATTTTCACAGCAAAACAGTGAGCGAGCCCAATTTGGCATTTTTAGACTTGTTTAATATCAGAGCAGCTACACAAATAAAATGGAGGTTGTTTCTATGCCTAGGTGCCCTCAGCATCTCATCCTCTCTGCCAGTGATGGGGGCTGGCTAGGCAACAGGAAGCAGGACTCTGGCCATGAGGTCCGAGCTGAGCGGCATCACAAACTTAATGAGCTCCCAGGTGCTGTGCGAGACACTCCGCAAGCAAAAATAAATTATTATGCAGAGATAACATGGAGCTAACCACTGCAGAATTCTCCCTTCATTAATCACTTCAGTATTGCAGCCTTCTTCATTAATAAAGCAGACTTCAGAAGATCCAGGGAAGGGGGGTGAACAGGAAGCTCTGCAGCTCCCCAGTCTGCTGAAGACTTGCTTTGCCTCTTCATCCTTCTGCTATCACCACCAATTTTTTGTTTGTTTAGCAAGCCCTTTTCATTAAGTCTTAAAGATCTGAAACATCCCTGGAGAATGCAGAGCTGTATCGGCCCCATCAGCAGGATGATACTATGGAAAGGCAGGCTTATACAGACATGCTTGCATCAAAAAAGATGTTTCAATCCACCACCTGCTCTGGAATTTGGGACAGACATTTGTGGCTGGGGCGGGGGGGGGGGGTCCACAGAGCATAAACCACAAATGGAATAGCAAGCTCATCAAGTGCAAGTATTCAGCATTCTGCCTAACTCTGTTGTTTGCCTATTCTTACATGCAGCCAAGGCAACCCAACATGAGTAAGCAAGCACTCAGACTTTCATGCCCATCAAGCCCACTCAGGAATAATATAAAAATGAGTAATAATTAGTATTATATTATACCGCCTGCAAGTGAAGCTCTCTGGATAGTTTACAACAAAGTATAAAAATAATAATAAAACAGATTAAAACATTAAGAATCAGAATAGTGTAAAAAACCATTAAAAGACAATTTAAAAGACCTGGCCAAGAATAAAAGAATTGTCAGGCCCCTGGATGACCAGGGAGGTCTTTAAAGGCCTCCTGTAAAGAGAGCTGTCTTACCCTGGTGCCAAAAGATGGCAAATTTGGCACCAGACCAGTCACAACAGAGAGGTTATTCCATAGATGGGGGGGCCAACAGAGAAAAGGCCCTCCCCCTAGTTGCCACCCTCCAAGTCTATCAAGGGGTTGACACCTGATGGAAGGCCCCAGAGGTCGAGCATAGTGGCTGGAATGCCTCCTTGGGATCTCCTCTTTTCTCCCTCTTGCCCCAAGCATGCTCAGATCGCCATCTTGCATCACAGGTAAATAGCTCCCATAACCTAGTGACTGAGTTCACCACCAGTATAAAAAAGCATGCCTTGCATCATGGCAGAAGGAAAAAAAGCTGTAGTGGCTTGTTCTCTTTGCCCACACACATCAGTTACACACCACCCCATGTGTGTGGTTTTCTACATTGTCTGAACCCAATGAGGGCGAGCAGTGGAGGTGGCTCCCAAATCACACAAGGACTGCAAAAGAACCCATGGGAGTGAATTAGGGGCCACCCCTGTGGCCCACCTTATCAGGTTTCGACAGTATGACAACCTACACCCAGCATGGGTAATTGTGGAAATGAGGTAACCTCATCTCCTTCCAAGTAAGCAAGTCCAACTACTATGAACTAGACAGAAAGGGGGAAGTTATTTCCCTCTGTCATTCATTTCATTTAATATACATACATACAAAGGAAAAAAGGAAGGAACAGCAATAATACACTAGAACATGGGAGATGTTTGCTGACCAATAAAGGGCTTCTTCACATATCACACAAAGTTCACTGACACAGGAAGTGGTGAGAGCTTAGAACAGTTTCCTTCTATTTTCGTTCTGTTTGTTCAATTATCAACAACAGAGTTCCATAAAAGACAGAGGCCTAAAACAAGTTCATGAAAGAGCCTCCAACAAGAATTACCCACAACATGTAAATGGAACCTCCTTCTTTGAATGTGATACACCAAATGCTAGGTACTCAGGAAGGAGAGCCCTCCCCTTAAAGCCTTCCTTCTCAGCCTCCCACAGTCAACCAGCAGGCTATGGCTGGCTACCAGAGAAGGCTTATCTAGATACCTGTTGTGGTCTTTTGCATCCCTGTGATTTCACATCCCCTCCAAAACAACAACCCTTGCCCAAGAAGGAAACAAGACTTCACCCCACACTCAAGTGACCGAAATTGACTACAAGATTCCTGGCCAATTACTCTAATGGGAGCCATTTCTGAAACTACTCCCATTTTGTATCAGTCATATAAATTTTATTACTGCTAAATAATTCAGGTGATTAACTGAGATGCAATTTGGCATGCTTCTCCCTAATCAGCATGAAGAAGCATGGTTTACAAAACACCATCAGGACTGGAAGACACCTCACTGGTTAACAGAAGTGGCTGAGAAGGGCATGAGGCCAAGACCTTTTGCCAACTCATATGCCTGAGCCTTTCCGGACCCATGGCTCAGGCACCTGCATTCTGCTTAAGCAGGGTGCCGAACCTCCTCAGCTGGGGTTCCTGGCTGGCTGGGCCCTTCCTCTGAGCAGGGCTGCCAAGGGAAGAGCATGTGAGGGCATCATTCATATGGCAACCAGACATTGGAGATGATTTGGCAGCACACTGCAGCAGCAAGCACTTTAAGCTAAACCATTTTTGATCATTTGGCTCCACCCTCTCAGTCTCTGGCTTGACCCAATACTGGACTGAGCCACCTGAGAAATTCTCTGAAATGGAATTCAGTCCCCAGAGAGAAGGGAATGTGACAACCTGGTGTTAAATCATCATTTACAGGAAAACTGCAGTTTCCAAGATATTCTGACTATATTACTTCCCTTTCATGAAATGCTAGAATCCCAACAAATCTCCCTGCATTACCCACTTCAGCACATCATGAAGGGGAGAGAAAGGGAAAGACAGTGGATTCAGGAAGGAAGGAAGGAAGGGTGGGGGAGAGCGAGCGAGCGAGCGAGGCAGGCAACAGAAAGGACAGACTGTGCTTCAGTCACACTCAATATCCAATATGTGAGAAACTCAAATTCTTCACCTGAAAATACATGATAGAACCAAGGTCAGCGGATGCACAAAAAGAACAGCCCCTGCATGAATTTGTACTAAACTTGGTATTTTTGAGAAGTTAGCACATTTGGGCTTCTCCAGGCAAAAATAGTTACAGATTAGCAAGAGGCAGTTGGCTGGTTGGCAACCCACAGGACATTGGCTTATACTGACTTAGACCCCCCTAGCTAAGAATATTTTTACAGTGAATAACCAAAGCTGCCCAGGTTTTCAGACTGGGATCTTCTCAGCCTGACCCAGAAATGCTAGGAATTGAACTCAGGCCTTTGGCACGTGGAGCAGGTGTTTTACCAATGAGCTGCAACCTCTGTCTCAAAGGGGAACCGGAGGCAACAGGGCAGACAAAAGGTGCCTCCATGTTCCAGAAATTGCCCAAACCTACACACAGCTCAGCTGACAAGGTCACAGCTATGTCAGAGGGCACGCAGCCTGCGTGGAGAACTGCTCTACCCAACCATCCCTCCACAGGGGTATCCTCAAGCAGAGCGCTTTGGGTCCCGGTTTTTGAAGCACAAAATCATGTCAAGACCAAAAATGGAGTTCAAGGCCCTGCTCCTGAACAGCTCATTAGCCAACCTCCCTGCCACTCCAACCACAGAAGACAATGTCTGTTTCGTCATTAGACAAGGGAGAAGAAATCCAGGATACAGTCAACACAGGTTCATTGAAATCGATCCATGAAGTGGGTGGGGAAATTTGGGGAATATCCTGGCATGTACATGAAACACTGCAAGCCATGCAGAAGCCCCGTGCTCCATCCTTAAAAGCACGGATGGCACATTTTACTGTTGCTGCACACAGCCGCTCACCTGTATATCAGTGTCCTTGACTGGTTCCAGGGGCTCAAATGTGGTCACAGCGCTAAGGCTCTCCAATCGCTGGGAGATGTGGGAGATGTCCAGACCTCTGGAGCCGAGGAGAACTGATCTACAAAAGAAATAAAAAAGAAGGTGGATCACAAGACATGTAAAGGACTTGGAGTTTTGAGGCCAGGCCCATTTTTTAAATCACAAACTCAAAATACAACAATGTAATTCAAAGGATCCAGTCCATGTACCACTACGCAGCTTGCCTTTGATCTGCCTTGGGAACTATGTGGAAACTAGGTAGAAATAAATCTGGATTTGCTTGCTGGTATGGTTGATTCTCTACCCAAACAGTCTACTTGTCCAAGGAGGGAAAGTTGATTGAAATTAAGCTCCTTCTTTTACACAGTTGCCGTCACCTAGATATGCATTTTAAAAAGCCCAGTTAACTACCTGTGGTGAAGATTCTGCCCAGATGGAAACTGGTTGGGAATCAAACGTGCCACAACAGAGAACAGCAACACACTTTCAGTAGACAACACAGGAAAACGCTGTCGGATCAGACCCGCGGTCCGTCCCATCCCATCCAGCATGCCACACACATGGTGGTAAACCAGCTGCCCACAGGACTGCAGGATGGGTGCAAGACTTGTGTGTGCCCAAGCTTCTCAGTAACTGGTGTGCAGGCATGCCCCCTCTGGAGAAGGAAGCGGCCCACAGCCACTGAGGCTAGAGCCATGGACAGCCTCCTCTCTCATGAATTCCTAAAGCCATCACCACTTCCCATGGCAGCAAATGCCACAGTTTAACTATACATTGGGCAAAGAAGTACTTGCTGCTGGGTTAGAGAGTGTGGGAAAGGAAAATGTCCCCTCCTTCAATTTTCCCCAATCCATGCATAATTTAAACACATCTGTCATGTCTCCCCTTTCTCTTTTTTCCTACACTGAGCATTCTCAGTTTCTGCAGCAGTTCCTCATAGGGGAGCTGCTCATTTTTGTCACTGTATTTTTTTTTCCCAATTCAATAACGTCTTAATTCAGGAGAGGCAACCAGAACCGAACCCAGTGATCCAAGAGTGGTCGCTCCTGACAATCTCTTTTGGTTTTAGCCACCCTGACAAGTTTATTGCCATCAGCAAACTTTTCCTCTCCACAACTTATTCTCAATTCCGGATCATTAACAAATAGGTTGAAAAGAACTGATCCTAGCAAAGAATTATGATTTATTCCCACTCTGTCTTCTGTTCTTTAACCAGTTAGTGATCCATAAGAGGACCCACCCAACACACACACTTTATTCCATGACAGCTTAGTTTGCTCAAGAGCCTTTGGTGAGGGACTTCCTCAAAAGCCTTTAGGACGTGCACATGGTGGGCATGTCGCGAGTGGAGCCAGCTGGTGCCGGAGGTCAGACTAGATGGCCTGGGAGACCCCTTCTGACTCGCTCTGTTTCTATGTTTCTAAGTCCAAATAAACAATGCCTACGGGATAGCCCCTGTCTGTATGCTTGTTGACACATTAAAAAAAACTCCAGTAGGCTTGTAAGACAAGATTTCGCTTTGCAGAAGACATGCTGACATTGTCCCATCAGGGACTGTCCCTTGATATTTTTACTGCTTCTATCTTTAATGATATTTTCAAACAGCCTACCCAGCATGGATGTCAAATTAACTGGCTATAATTTCCCAGGTCACTCTGGCTCCCTTTCTAAAAACCAGTGCTATGTTGGCCGTTTTCCAATCTTTTTGTACAAGGGCTGTTTAAGAACATAGTAAATATTTTGAGAAGAAGGTCAGCAAGTTCATGTTTTAGTTCTTTTAAGGAGTCTAGCATGGGCATTGATTGGGCTGGGTGATTTACTGATGTTCAGATTATCAGTAAGGTTTAGAACCCAAGAAGTTCCAGTAGCTAATTTCCTTGAGGATAGCAAAGATGTTATGTCAAGCTACAGTACAAGCCTAAATGGGCTTATTCACAATTTAGTTCCAGTGAGTTCAACGGATTTTTCTCCCAAGAAAGGTTTGCTTCGGACAGTAGCCCTTGCATCTCACTTTAAAACAGAAAGTTTCAAAGTACTTACGCTTTGACATCTGCCGTCTCCTGAGAGGTGCGGGTTAGCGTCCGGGAGCGCAGACGTTCTCCAGCTTGCTGGATCTCTTGGAGGTTACGTTCAACATGAGGAAGCTCTGCAATGCCCTCCGTTTCCGCTGCAAGCTGCTCTGCCTGCTGCAGGAGCTCCCCAAACCCTTCGGCGTCCATTTCCAAGGAAGGCTGCTATGTGGAAACCCTGAGGGGAGATGGATAGAAAGATCTTGGGCAAACAGAAAGGTGCAAGTTCTAGGAAGGCCTCCCCCAGCAACACTCGGTGGCCTCATCACCCCCTCTGATTAAGACCTGTGAGCAAAGAGGCTGAGCAAAGGACAGGCAGCTTCATGCATAAAAACCCATCTGTTAACCCAACAAGATCTCTTATCTGCAAACCTGCATGCATGAACCCAAATGTCACTTGAGAAACATGGTAAGCTACAATAACCCAGAAGACACTATTATTCAACTCCAGACTGGAGGATCATGAGAAAATGACAGTAAAGATGATCTCAGCAAGTAAAAAGTCAGTGGAGAGCACAGGGTGATGACACCGTAAGAGCATCATTAGCCCCACCATGTACAGCAATATTTAATTATTTTCTGGCCTTCGTACTGATGGATTTTCAGGCGATTCTACCATGACACCAGCAGGCATGCCCGATGGTACCTGCAAAGGGATCCCCAATGTGGAGCCTGCAGAGTTTCACAAAATAAATTGCTTTTTTAATTCCCATTTTAGCTTATATAGTAGTTTTGCAAGAAATGCATACAGCTTCCTAGCAATTACACACACACTTCAAAAAAGCAGACCTAATATCTAAATGAGTAAAGGGGCACTTTTATGCTACCCATCCAGATAGTGAAGCTCCTTAATGTCCCCAAGTGACTGCTGAACTGTTAAGGGTTTGTCCTTCCAGTGTTGCAATATCAATCTTTAGCTGTTCAAAAGGTTGTAGAGAATCCAATTACACTGACCATTTGTTAAGTTTCCATGAAGTAGCTATATATTTAGAAAGAGTACGCATATCAGTGGACGTTAAAAGACCGTTCCAGTACAAAAATGAGCTGTGTAAAAACCTCTACCCAAAAGAGAAATGAAAAGCGGACATTGCCAAAACATAGGTTTAAAACAAACATTAGCTATGTTGCATTGCTTGCAATTAATCAAAATAGATGATCCCTTAGAAAAGAGATGTTGCACTGTTCAACTGACAGCAGTTGAAGAGTTTTCAAAGAAATAGGGAATCATGAAGGGAAAAAATATTCCCTGAACAGATCCATGAGACACAAGAAATCACATATTATAGTCTTGTTCTGGGTCTGACCATAGGATCCAGGGACTGATAAGCCATCACAAATAAAGGATTCAACTCATGATGCCTGGAGATGCCACTGAGGGGGTGGTCCTTGATTCCCCTAAAAAAAACTCCTCCATTTTTATACTTCAACTACCTGAACTCTGAATCAATGTGCTTTGTTCTCCAATTACAAATATTTACTGTTTATATACAAACAATATTTCCTTTTCATCATACAAAAAATAGAACTGCCCTGACCAACAACTACATAAATTTGCAGAGTTATCCATAAAATGGAACTATTTTCTGTGTTTTATTTATAGTTAGTTTTAAAAAGCTTATATAGATTACATGAAGTATGCCTGCCTGAATGCCCATGTCTTGATTCTTTGTAGACTAACATAGTTCAGGCCACAGTCTGAAACCTACAGACCTGAGAGTGACTCTCACTGAACTGCATTTTACTTCCAGCCCTTTTTCCTTCCAAGTGACTCAAGGTGGCTTACATCCTCCTCCTGCTCGCCATCACTGCAACAATCCTGTGAGGTAGGGCTGGGCTGAGAGTCTGCGACTGGCCGAAGTCATCCAGTGAGCTCCATGGCTGAGCAGGGGCTAGAACCCAGGTCTCCCTAGACCCACTCCTGCACTACACCACACTGACTCTAATCAACAGACACATCTAGAACCATTAGCAAGTAGATAATTAAGCATATTGTTCCAGAAATAGGATGCAGCAGTAGGAAAATTAATTTAAAACAATTTAAATCATCTTCTTTCTCTGTGAAAATTGTGCTCTTTTAAATCAGTGCTCCCTGTTAATCGCCGAGAAACCTGGCCAGCCAAACCATTTGACTTTTATTTACTTACTGAATTTTTATCCTACATCATTAGCCATAACACTCACTTTCAATAATAACCCCAAGACATAGGCAACTCTAGATAGAGAAATCCCAAATATTGTTCCAAGCATTCTACCAGGTCACAACGCAGGGCCAGCTGGGTCTCCAGTTCAATAATATGATTGACTAATTTACAGTTGCTGCCTCATTAAATCATCGTGGGGGAAAGGACGGAGAGGAAATTAGAAAAACTTGCCTGCAAAAATATTCTGACCTGCACAAATGACAAATTAGCTAAACTCTTATTAAGAACACCTCAAAAATATGAAAAGCTCAACTTTGGAACCAATTCCCTAGGGAGGCGGTGGGCTCTCCCACACTGGGAGCATTCAAGGTGCAACAGGACAGCCATCTGGGAGAAATGGTTGAACTGGGCGTCCCACACTGGGCAGGGGGCTGGACCCAATGGTCCTCTGGCCCCTTCCAACTCTGCTATTCTAGGATTCTGTGCAGCCACTTTTCAAGAATAACATCAGTGTTGTTTGGGAACATTTAAAGAGAGACACATCGCAGTCAATACACAATAGCTCTGATGCACAGAACGCATCTGATGTTTTCACATCAGAGATGCTGGCAAGCCACCAACAGGGAGTAACGAACCTCAGATAATCACTAAGAAGGCTTAATTACCCCGGTTGTTAAATCAACTGAAAATCAGTTCCACTAATTGTGAAAAGGTATTGCAACCTGCGGACACAGAATATTATGTCCCAATGATTCTTTACACAACCCACAAGGAAAAACCACATGCTGTGAGGTGTTGCTGAACTGCAAAGGACACACTACCCCGGCCAAAGCACAATGCCACAGCACTGCTTTCCTTTATTTCTGCTCCACGCTGGACTGCATGCAGCCTCCCAACTGCTCAGGCAATCAACTATCAATCTTGACTGAATTATCCAAGGGGCACCCAATGCATTTGTATGGCATCACATTGGAACCCCACTGTATGAAGAGGGCCTTTTGTGCAGCAGAAGCGGAATGAGCTTCCCAGAGACTTATCTGATACCTACATCATGCTCTTTTCAGGGCTTTCTTATTTTTCTGGACCCTTTAGCCTTGTAGTTTCTGCTGTCTTAAATTTCATAGATTTATGGAATACTAGGTTTGGAAAGGGCCAAGGAGGTCATCAGGTCCAACCCCCCGCTGCTGCAAGATGCCAAGTCAGCCATGCCACTCAGAGGACAATCCAGTGTCTCCTTGGAAGTCTCCAGTGTGGGAGAGCCCACGACCTCTCCAGGCAAGTGGTTGGTTCCACTGTCGGATTACGCTGACAGTGAGGAAGCTTTCCCTGCTGTCCATCCTCAGTCTGGTAAACTGCAGTTTAAGTTCACTGTTTGGTCCTATGCTGAGGGATGAGTAAGGTCCCTTCCTCTTCCTCATGAGCGCATTCTGCAAGTACCTCAATGGCTGTCACAGCTCCTTCTTGAGGCTGAACATGCCCAGCTCATCATCCTTGTTGCCTCCTCTGGACCCTTTCTAGTTTCTCTGAATCTTTTTAAAACCTGGGTGCCAGAAACTGAACACAATATTCCAGGTGGGGTCTCTCACGTCTTTTAAGACTTCACACTGCTGCAAAACTATGTTAGTTTGTAGCTTCAATTTTATACCATAGTTTAAACAACATTTATATGCTGTTATCAGAGGCCCAGAGAATTTCAGTAGTTGGGCAGTACAAAGATGTAACATAAATAGGGAACAAGGGCTGAATATCATAATGGCCATAGTTAAACCAATTACAAGAACGGGATTAGATTCTCTGTGGGGCTTTTAAGTTCTTTAGTTCCATTGGAAGTTTTACATTGACTTCTGTTCATTCAAACCTCAGCCATGGGTTAAGACTAGAAACTGAGTAAAAATATTTTTGTAGGGAAGGGCTGCATACCTGCTTTGAGCCACATATAAGAAGCACCAAACCTCATTCAGTAGCTTGCTCCAAATTCCACTAGAAACCCTCATGGATTTTTGAGAGAAGACTTACAAAGCAAGGGCTGGCAGGAATTGAATGCTCCAATCACAGTTACCTTCTAAAAAATCCGCAAGGGGCTTCCATTCCGACATTAAGACTTTGCACATGTATTCCTGCGTAGGAGTCATTTCAAAGGACTCTTGTGGGGGAATATGCTATGCCAAAACACACTACAATCTGTTAAGTGCTTAAAAAGCCAGAATGTAGAAAGCTTTTATTTTCACCATGCCAAACCCATTCTGCAGTCTTACTTTCTGCTTCCGTTTGCATCGATCTGCCCATGTTTGTTTGTTCCTCTTGTTCTGAGAAGCTCACCTGATCTGTCTAATTTGGCATCTAACCTTTTGAGGAATTCCCATGGCATCTGAAACTAAGTGTTCAGAAGGCAACATTTCATGATTAGGGCAGGAACTGAATTAACAACTGGCAATTGTTGTTAACTGATAATGGCTCTGGATATTTCCTAACGTTCCTCCACACTCAAGAGAGAACAAGGAAGAAATCTGAGGATTAAGACTATGCAGATGAGAATGTCAGCAAAGGCAACACAAGCAGAAGATGCATCTACCACACATTGCAACAGCCCAGTCCACACAGAACATCAAGCCAGGATGTGGCACTCCGTAATCTTCCATTCCCTCCCACTTGCAGCACCAGGCTTGGGCCAACTCAAAGATCACCAAATGCTCAAACTTCCTCTTCATCAGACTAAATGGTATAGAAAAGCAGGTGGGGTGGGAAATTAAGCTGACTGGATGCAGCCAGAAAGGTTGCACAATCAGAGACTTTAAGATGATGGGTAGGGTTTGCAGACATTCATACTGGATTCTCTCAAATGCTGCCACTGTTTTGGTGTCTTGGGAAAGAGGAAGCAACTGTTGATCCTTTCGGAAAAAATACAATCCAGTTATTAACTCAAAACCATTTCCATTTTGGATGACCCTGACATCTGCATTTGCTCATTATGGAAATCTGAAAAATAAGAAATATAGTCCGGCGTAATTATCCTATTTATCCATAATTTTCATGGATA